TCACAAATGGACACCCTCCCCATTTCTTGTAAATCCATGCAAAAAATATTACAACTTTTTAACATCTCAAAAAAGGCATGCAATTTGTTAGCAAGAAAGGATAAATTTCACCTTCCCACTTCTCCAGGATTCATAGTAATCCAAAATCAAGAGAGCAGAGACACTTTGAAAATATGCCCCCTTTGCCCCTGCCTTTGGTATATTAATGATTACAAGATGTTGGACGCATATTTGAGTGGTAAGAAGAACCTGCTTCCCAAAGGGAAAAAGAAACTGGGAACAGACCCAGAGAAACAATAAGTTAGTAGGCAGGTCTAAGAAACTCTGAATATCAGCACGTTCCAAAGCTTAGTAACAAAGCTTAGACTGTCACACGATCTCTACATGAAAGTCAGCGCAAACCTTTTCTATCATTATGACATCTAGAGCATGACTTAGTTTTCATAAACAGATATTTTTCTTACCCTGGAATTTATCATATGATGCTACAATTAGCATTCTGCTGTTCTTTTTTTTTTTTTTTGTCATAGTTTTACAATGGTTTACTATATACCTTTAAAAAGTAAAGAGTTAAGAGAGAAGGGAAATTTGTATTAGGTCATGCATTGAATTTACGTTCTTCCTTAAAGGATGCACTAAAACAAAAGTGTCCTGCTTTCAAAATGCTTATTTTGGTTTTAAAGAGCATTTGCACCCAGGTACCATTCTTTCCTTCTTTCACTTTTCTTTGAATTGTCTTACCTTTCCTCCACACATCCATGATGCAGATTAGTACCGGCCTCCAAGCCCCAGGCATCAAAGGAATTAGGTCAGACCAGAAGAAATCAGGTTGCAGGCAAGAAAAAAATTTTAATAAAATAGAAGCTATGCCAGCCTGGAACTTCCCTTCAGGCAGACTAACAAGCCCTAGCCGTAGATGTAACAGTATTAGGTCGTTGATATGTGGGAGGAAAGCAGAGACGTTTGAGAGACCAAAGATTTGTATCATATTAGCAACGTGATGATATGCTGAATGTATTTAAAGCCGGTCTGTACGTAGTGCTCTGAATGGCTTGGTGCTCAGCCCTCAAACAATTGCAATTAAAAATGATTCCAGGAAAAGAGAAAAGATCTAGTGCAATATCTGTTTTGCTATAATTTGTGAGTTTTTAAAAGTCACTTTGCATTTTTATTCCATCTGAGAGTGGTGGTCTTTTAAAGCATCTATTAAGTATATACAGAAAATTAATTTTATGTTAGCGTGTTTAAGGCTTACTGACTCAAACAGCATATTATCTTCTTTTGAGTTATTTTAAGGACAAAAATTAGAAAGAGATTGTATTGGAAAATGTCCATGCTTAGTTCATTCTCCAGATGACCATTTTAGTTGCCATTATTACTGGCTCCAAAATGATTGGAGGAGTAATTCAAATTCAACCTATCACATTATCCAAGGGCATTCTATGAATAGCTGCAAACCAGAGCAAGTTCTGGCAAAGATGCAAAGGCAGCGTATCAAAGTCAGCAATAGCATTCAGGAGTGTTTTCCAGAGTTGGCAAATGCAGATGAGAATATTTATATGTCATCTCTCAAACTATAGAAAGTATTTTGGGAAAGATATTTTTCACAAGCCTTAGATTAGCCACTATAGCATTTTAAAGGAGGGTTTTTGTTGTTGTTGTTGTTGTTGTTGTTTTTTGCTGATGATGAAACAAACCTTTGGGTGATGTCAGTCACATTTACACATCATCCCAGCAGCATTTAATTCTCCCAGCAGACTCATGAGGGAGATACTGGTGTTATTAGCATCTGCATTTGTTTGTGATGAGAAACTGAGGCACAGGCATTGAGCAACTTGCTAAAGTCCTCAAAGTTAGAAGGAAGCAGAGACAGAATTTGCACTCCAAAATCTGAGTGCATTTCCAGAGGTTTTTCTCATTTGTGGAAACAGTTTTAAAGTTTTAAGAAAAGTGAAGCCTCTTTGGTTTCTGAATGTAGTAAGTCTCAGATTCTGATAACTCTCACACATCTCTTAAAAAAATATCATCAGTAAGATCATTTTAACCAAGGGAAAAATATTATCCTAACACATATTGAGAAATTATTTCTGCCAAATATATGTAAGTTTTTCATGCATAAATTCACATAATACTCACTGTAAGATATAGTTACTGTTCCCAGTTGAAGAAAGGGAAACTGAGGCAGAAAAAGTTGAGTAATTTCCCTTAGGTTATCAGGTAGACAGAGTAAGAGCCAGGATTCAAGCCTAGGAAATCTGGTTCCAAAGGCAATACATGTAACCACCAAGCTTTATTGCCTCCATGAGTCATTATTAATGGAATCATTATATAATGTTGTGTTTTTTGTGTTTGTTGGTTTCTCAATTGTAGTCTCGCTTTTTCATTCCGGCTGGAGTGCGATGGCGCAATCTCAGCTCACTACAACCTCTGCCTTCTGTGCTCAAGCAATTCTCCTGCCTCAGCCTCCTGAGTAGCTGGGATTACAGGCATACGCCACCGTGCCCAGCTGATTTTCCATCTTTTTAGTAGAGACAGGGTTGCACCATGTTGCCCAGGCTAGTCTGGAACTCCTGACTTCAGGTCATGTAACCACCTTGGCCTCCCAAACTGTTGGGAATACAGGCGTGAGCCACCACACCCTGCCCATGTTGTGTTTTAAGGAGTGGAGTTTTGTTAAATGATTTTGTGACTATAAATGAATACCAATAATTAAGGACGCATTTTTCATATACCATGCTTTTTGTCTAGAATTATCTTTCCTCTTCACCATCTTTTCTTACAGTTCAGCTTTACTGTTGGCCTTCCCAGATCCACCTCTCTAACTCAGAAGGCTTTCTATCTTCATAGTGTAGTGCTATCATATCATCTTTCACATGGTGTAGTAATACTATACTTAACTTTCTCTCCACTTGGACTCTAAGCTCCCTGGGAGAAGAGACTCCATCTTCTATGTCTATCACTAGTAATATTACATATTATAGGGCAGCCACCTGAAACAGGTTGGATTTACAAGTCGCTGAAAAAAGAAAATAATTTATAAATACTTGGTTGCAATAGATGGATAATTGGATGAAGGATGGATAGATTTATTAATGTATGAAAAGATGGATGGATGGATGGATGGAAATATAAAAGAAAAAATGATATACATATAGCAAACGAATGAGTCAGTATGTGTGTGCCAGTTTTAAACAGACAAAGTTTCCTGGGTGTATTTCTAAGAAGATGAGTTTATTAAAAAAATTCAGTTGTTTTTCTACCTTATCTTTAATTATTGTTCTTTTTTCTATTGTTTTCTTTTAATGGCCATTAATGATGACTCAGCAAGCTAGTGATAAATTTGCTCTCAGATGTTTTCTCTACCCTTTTATTATGTATTTATCAAAGTTTTTGGCTAGATTTCACTCCTTTTAAGTAAAGGGGACTTTTATTCCTCTAGCTACCTTTGAGTTCCTGCACTGAATGCACTGCATTCCTGGCTCCCTGGATTTAGCCCTCCACTCCCCTTAGCCATTTGTCTAGCAGGCGCTGCTTGAAGGTTTGGCCTCTAATACTGCTACTAGATTTAGCAATGGAAGCAGCATAAAATCCTAAGCCTACTGTCAAGTGTGAATCTTATACTTCAGAACAGATATATCATCCTGGCCCAAAAAGAAACAGACCACATAACGTTTCCAATATTGTAATAAATTCATCCACTCCAAGTGTTGTGTTATATTTACTTAATAGGTAGAGCAGGATAAAAGAATGTTTTTGTCATCAATAACCAAAATAGGGCCGGGCTTGGTGGCTCATGCCTGTAATCCCAGCACTTTGGGAGGCCAAGGCGGGTGGATCACAAGGTCAAGAGATCGAGACCATCCTGGTCAACATGGTGAAACCCCATCTCTACTAA